TAGAAATAGAAGCATGGTACAATTCTCAGTTTCAGAACTGCCATTCAGCATGAAAACAAACAGCAGGATTTTGAGAAACATAGACTTGAGAGACCACAGAAATCAGAGGCAATAAAAAAATCTGAGGGTATTTTCATCCAAGAAAAGCTAGTATAAGTACCTTTCATGAAAATAAGGAATGCCTTTTATTTTATTCCAAACAGAAAAAAAAATAAGTTTCTGAAATTTGAAACTGGCCAATAGTGACAAATGGAGCCAAGAGAAAGGAAGAGAATTTAATTTCCTACCTAAATAAAAATCCATAATTTGAGAAACACCACAACTTGTATCAGGAGTGATATGGCTTAGAATTTGCTTTCACATTTAAGTCCTTCTAATCTTTTGGACAATACTAAGGTTTTCTTTGTTGTTCCCAATGAACTAGCCCACTAGACCCACCAGGCACATAATAGACTTGCAAAATTATTCCATTTCCATGCTCAGACCAAATAAATAGATCTTAAGAGGAGAGAGTATTTAAATTTTCCTTTGGTTCTAAAAAGAGCTGCAATACATGTTTCTTGGATCATGAGGAGGCATGAGATGATCTAAAGAAGATAACATTCTCCATTTTCCTCAAAGCTATTTCAGAGGGATATTTGACTCACTAGGGTAACAGCCTTTTCAATATATGTCCCATGTGTTCTCCAAGATTTTACCTTCAGGAGGTTTTAATTTAGCAGTTAGCTTGTTTGTCCAATACCCATTTAGGTTCTCCTTCAAAATAGGCTCTTCTTTTGTTTTAGCACCACACAGCTTTGGCAAGGTTCCAAAGCTTTTTTAAGGAAAGAATTCAATGAACTGCTATATAACTAATTTATGCAGAAATTACTGTCAGTCTCATGGGCAGCTACCAAGCCTCACTGTGATTGGAACTAATAACTATTACCAAGATATGATAATTTCATTTAACATCAGGAAACCATCTGGTGCCTTCATTTCTTGTTGTAACATAGTGCCACTGTTTTACTCAATCCACTCTCATTAAAACAAGACAAAGTAGCTAAGGAAAAACACACACAGATGAGAAATTTATCCTCTCAACAATCTTTGTCCAACCCTCGTCCCCAGAACTCATACACACCTAGATTTCTGAAATAGGATGGGACTACTAAAACCTAATCTGAGCTTCAATATCTTCCATAGAAGGCTACCTATTTCATTGAGTAGCTTCTAAATCAAAAGAATAATGTGCTTGGGCTATGCTGTAACTATTTTCCTCATAATGGCTGCATGTGGTGAATGAATCCAATCCACTCTTAGACAGGCTGTACCAGTGGTTAATTGCTCTCACTCTTAAAAATATGCAACTTTTTTCTAGTCTGAATTTGCCTAACTTCAGCTATGAAACATTGGATCTCATTATGCCTTTTTCTGCTAGATTAGAGAGTCATCTACTGTCAAAAGTCTCATTCCCATTAAGGCACTTACAAACTATGATCAAGTCACCTCTTAACCTTCTCTTCAGCAGATTAAACAGACTGATCTTTAGCCTCTAACTGCAATGCTTATTTCCAGACCTACAGTCATTCTTTCACCTTTAATGAACACTTTCCAATTTTAAACATATTTTCCAAGTGAGATCACCAGAACAGGACACAATAGTTCATTAGTACTTTCCTTAATGCTGTATAAAAAGGCAGTGTTACTTCCAACTTGATATTCGGTTGCCTATATAGCAGAGAATGTAATATATACCATTCAAAAACATGCTTTATCAGGTTTCCATTCTTAAGTACTTTTTGCACTATTTAGTACTTTCTATGAGATGCTCAATTCTAGCAGTACTTTTTAAGGCAATTCCACTTGAAGTCTAATTTTAAAGTACTCTGTTGCATGATAATTTTCTTCATGCAAGGAAATTACATTCCTGAAACAATTTACTTATACAAAATATAGGTATATATGAAAACACACAAATACAGATGTACTATTGTGCTGGTTTGGGCTGAAGTGGAGTTAACTTTCTTCCAAGTGGCTAGTATGGGGCTATGTTTAGGATTTGTGCTGAACACAGAGTTGATAATGTAGAGATGTTTCTGTTACTGCTGAGCAGAGCTCACACAGAGCCAAGGTCTTTGCTGCTTTCCGTACTGCCACACTGGCAAGGAAGTTGGGGGTGCATGGGAGATTTGGAGGTGCACAATTAGGACAGGTGACCCAAACTGACCAAAGGGATATTCCATACCATATGACATCATGCTCAGTATATAAAGTGGGAGGAAGAAGGAGGAAGGGGAGGACAATCTGGAGTGATAGCATTTGTGTTCCCAAGGAACTGTTCCATGTGATGGGCCCCGCTCTCCTGGAGATGCTGAACACCTCCTGCCCGTGGGAAGCAGTGAATTATTTCCTTGTTTTGCTTTGCTTGTGTGTGCAGCTTTTGCTTTCTCTGTTAAACTGTCTTTATCTCAACCCATGAGTTTTTCTAGCCTTTACTCTTCCAATTCTCTCCCCGATCCCATTGATGGGGGAGTGAGCCAGCTGCTGTGTGGTTCTTGGTTGCTAGCTGGGTTTAAACCATGGCAATTATGTTGACCGGAATTATAGTATTCTATTTTCAGATAACATCATTAGGTAAAAATGCCTAATTTTACCAGAAAGTTTACTGTAACACACTGTATGCATATGTTTTGGACTATCTTTCATGGAAGACATATCTAATTAGCTTGTATTCCTTACACATCTAGCTCTAGTGAATACATATACATAGCATATACATCAAGAAAACTCTAATGTCTACCTGAAAGTTGTTTCAGACACTGAAGGTATTGAACGGGATTGTATAGTTTTCATATATTTTTCTTTTTGAGCATGATTTTCACTTACTGACTAATCTGCAAGAACAGTTGTAGAGACTTCAAATGCTTAAATTTGGATCAATTTCATTAGGTAAATCAAATCAATTAATTTGCATGCTACTAAGTAAGATAGCAAACAACAGAAAAATATATCAAATCATTTGGTTGCTAGCTGGAACAGAAGTTCTCAGCTATCGATTAATTTTCATTTCTCAAAACACTTACTAATCATGATCTGTTCACACACAGACTCCAGAAAATATGTTTGTTCAAAAGAATAAACCTCAATTTGACCTAAAATTTATCTATTGAATAAAGAAATCATGTTTTGTTCTGATTTCTCTACTTCATTCATAGTGAAGAAGGAGAATTCATTAATGCAATAGAAGGAATACTAATATGATCTGACACTGTAATTCTGTTGTCTGTAAGTCTAGGTTATTTCAACTGCAACCCAAAATCTTCAATGCAGGATGTGCAATTGCTATTTCATTAGAAGTAAGTTCTCTCTAATTCTTGGATACAATATATTAGATAAACACAGAAGAATGAAATATGCAGAAAGAAATAATTGTGCAGAAAAGGAAGCACTACATTAATATGCGAAGGGGAAAAACATCTAGAGAAAGAGGAACAGTCTCAGTGCACTTAGAAAACCCACAGATTATGGGCATAGAAAATAAGGAAAAATAGTAAATAAGAGACAAAATTAAGAGTGAGGGGAAGGACAACTAAAAGTTAGGAAGATGTAGAGAGATGTATTTCTGGCAACCAGAAAGAAAGTCACTGCTAATTTAAACTTGATTCTTAGTTCCACAGTCTGAATCCTAAATAGAATGAGATCAAAGTTTTCTGTCAGACTGAAATTAAGTTAAAGCCCTGTATTGTTTCTTGGTAACTTAATAAATACCTTGTATCATCTTTTTATGTCTGGAGATGTAAATCATTTTAACTCTTTTAAAAACCTCAGTCTTTAAATTTTCAACGTTGTAACTTTTAAATGCCTCACATATTTCCTGACATGAAGAGATCTCCAATTGATTAGTTACTTCTATCAACTTCATCAGCTCTTTTTCCAACAAGTATTCTGAGGAAAATACTCAGAATTTCCCCAATGTATCCTTTAAGTTAAGCAGCCTAAAGCAGTCTGAGATACTGAAGTTAAATTGATTTTTATTTCCAAGCAGAAGCTCAAAACCCTATGATTTTTTTTTTATTCAAAGTGTACACTTTGATTGAGTCTAAGGTCATAAGATTAAATAGTGACTATTTAGCTTTGATATCTAAACAAAGTTTGTACTCAATGAGAGAAACTGAACACACATTCTTCAATTTATTCACCAGTTTACAAGTTACCTTGGTCATCATTTTGCCCAATTTCAAATGTGACAGTCAATATAGAGCTTTAAGTGATAGCATAATGACTCTTTAAACCAGAGTGTACTAGTCTTCAAAAAGTACCAAAGAGCAGATAAATATTGTTAAACATCTCTCTATTTGGAAGATCTGAGACACCTCTGTGCTATCAAACACAAGAAGTTAGAGAACAATCTTCTTTCCCTTCATCCATGCTTCTCACTAATTTAAATCCACTTAAATGCTGGGTGAAGATAGAAAAAAAAGCATTTCTAATTCAGTAATGTATTTCACTATGTTTCAAACTGAATTATCTTAGTAACAGGTTAAAAAGAACAGCAAAACTGGAATTTCTGAGCTTTTTATATGGACCACAAATTTAATTCAAAAGTTTTTCCAAATTATGAAGTCCGAAAGGTTTTTCTCAGTTCAGCCACTAATATCCTTAGTGTTGCTTGAGCAAAGACTGCAAATAAGTGGATATGGTGCTGAACAAAAACTGCAACTTTCAATCCAACAAAACATATTCTTGTACACAGCCGTAGGAAATCTGCGTAAAGTGTTCAGGTTTCTTCATGTACTTCAATTATTTAAAAGAAAATCATCAAAGAAACAGTCTTTTATTTTCCATGAGAGATTTGGCATTTGATTCCCTTGCTATCTAGCTAATCTCAGCAAAAAATAAAAATATTTTCTGTTCCTTCTGACAGCAGTGGGAATCATGCCTGTTGCTCCTCGGCAAGGTACAAAAACTTTCCCCCACAATAAGGATTAGCAACTTCTCAAACAGAATATAAGACTTACCTTGAAGAAAGTCATAGTGGCTCCATCTTCAACTGCACCATACTCTATCTTTGTCTGCTTGGCCAAATCATCAGCAGAATCAATAGGGGATTCCATACGTTCCACTGTCAGAAAGGCGGCTAGGTTAGCAGTGTACGAGGAAATGATGATAAGTGTGAAAAACCACCAAATGCCTCCCACTATCCTGGTGGAGAGGGCTTTAGGCATGAGCTCAGAACCTAACGAAAACCAGGGGAGAAAGGTGAAACTGATGCACAGAAAACAATTAATAAGTGTTCAGCACTTTTTGCCACAGTGGGGAGATGGAATCACTGTGCAAAAAAATCTTTTAAGCTACAGGTTTACGTGTACTGCTTGTACAAACACACACAACTGAAATGAAAAATAACTGGTTAAACTTATAAAAGACAGACCTTTTTGGAGCTGTGGGAGTCAAAAATAGTAATGGGAGATTTATTCATTTATAAACATATATATATTTCAATGCGAAATTGTATTCCAGAAGAAAAATTCTGGCTAGACTGAGCCTCTAAGTTAATACTAATATTGAAGAATTCATACAGTTCTTTATCTTCAAGGCACTAAAATAAATTATTTAAGTATTTTGCAAAAACTCACTTGCCTAAATAAAAATAAGCTGTGGATGAAGGGAGCAGATATGAAACATTACATATCTGAAATGCAAAATCTGAAATCTATTATAAATATGCTTTTGACTTTTGCCATTTGAATTTCTGTATAGGATTGTTTATTAACCATTTAGATTTTTTTTAAAAAATTGACATCTCCCATCTCTATAGTTAGCCCCACAATTTCATATAAGTATGGGTGGCAATGCCACACACTTCAATTTGATAGAGTAGCAATACAAATATTAGACTGCTATGCATAAACTAGATCAAGATAGATTATAATGCATTGCTGGAGTTGCCTGCTCATGGCACTAAAGAATGGAGGGGGAGACAGACACTGTATAGCAATTTGCATAATTTTAATGCTAATTTAGAGCCTAATGAGACAACTTGAAGCACATAGACTTCTCTTGTGCCTAATTATTAAAAATAGGAAAAAATAAAATCCAATGTATTATACAATCACAAATATTTATTATAAGTGGGGATGTATGGGGTTTTTTTTTTCCATAACATTATAATTGAATGGAATGAAATTTCTAATGATGCCAAATAAACAATTTCAAGCCTCATTTTGTGAACTTTAGACCTTTTAGTAGTATCTGGAAACTTGTTTTCAGGGAAACAGTTTTACCATATCCATTATACCATCATACCAAAACAATCCCTTTTTGTTAATTGGTTACTATCCTTGCTACTAAATCTCCTGGGTAAAATGGAATGAAGGCAAGATGGACTATTTTATTCCTGTTAAATTTTAGTGTTTAATATTGAATTAGTTAAGGAACTGGTCCAGCAAGGTAACACATCTTCATATAAATGAAAGATTATGTCCAACTTTCCAAAGTCAATGCCAAAAAGAGAACAGTAGGACTGTGGTGGGGAGGGAGGGCAGGAGGGAGGAGGAAAGCAAGGGGGAGAGGAGGAAGAAAACCAAAGAAAAGGAAAAAAGAAGTGGTATCATAACTGGACTATTGTATTCAAAAACAGCCCATCTTACCCTGCAGTTCATCTTACCCTTGCTGTTTCAAACAAAAAAAGCTGACAGACTTGGACATGACAGCCAACTCCAGCGCCAGACTCTGCCTAGAATTCTGCAAGGAAAAAAGTAGAAAAGTACCTTTCTGATGTAGTTGCTCCTAGGCCCTGTTAGTCAGACACTTAGACACCATAACACTAAGAGATTTCCCAATAAGCCCACCATCATGAACTCTTTTTAATTGCTCTCCTTTCAGTTAAAAAACAACACCAGTAAAGTCAGATAGGACTGAGAAGAAAAGAAGAGTGGAAACATTCGCCGCAGCTGCCCCAGTTACCACGAGTTCATACCTTACCAAGGACTGAAACCAAGTGCCACCTGGGCCCATGAAACAGAGCCTGGTCAGGGGCTGACTGTCATGTACCCAAGGTAACGTCATGTCCAGCACTATATCCCACATTTTCCTGGGAGCGAGTGGTGCCAGCAAGACATGTATGAGTTTCCTCAATCATGTATCCTCCACCACTGAACGAATATTTAGTAAAGAAGCTGCACTTAATAAGTTAAAGTGAGTATGGTCCAAGCACTTTTATACTGTTTCTAATGGAAAGTTATCGCTGTTAGGTGAGAAGTTCCATGCTTGTCTAAAAGTCTACATTTAGGTGACTTGAGGTTCTTGAGATTTTCTTTTTTTAAAAGCAATTATCAAAATCAAGACTGATACTTCATCCTTAGAATGGTGCCTTTAAAGTTTATTAAAAGATGAACTGAGTAAAGGCAAAACAATATAAGGCAAGGACAGAGGGTCAGCCTTAATGCTGAAAAACTAGTTTTCCTTCATGGAAAGCTATTATCCCCAAAAGATACCTTTTAAAATGAATGTTGGGCTTTTTTCTTATTTTGATTGTCAATAAATGTTTAGATGCTAGGGACCAAAACACATTTTTCTTGAAAAAGACATGATGCAAAAACCTAAATTGCTTTTTCCTTCCTCCAGAAATATGAAGAAGCATACAGCCACATAAGGAGTGAAATTCAGCATTGATAGTGATTCTGACAGTCCTGAGGACTGTGAACAGAATTCAAAATATCTTTTTTCAGTCAGTATCCCTTTTTTTTGGTAGCTCCTTTGAAAACATTTGTTATCTGAGAAACAGTATTTGGAAGTTGTGCTTCAACTGTATAATCACTTGAAATATATATTGACAACCTAGTTGTTACTAAACACTTTGCCATTTATTGCTGTATTTTTATTTCTGATTTGGAATCTTTATTTCTTTTTACCCATTAATTTATGTTCTTCTGGGCATAGTACATTTTGCTGAGAGCTTAGAGACTTTTTAAGTCCACCAACCTACCAACATGACAGAATATTTATTGCAGTTACAGCAAGCCTTCATGAATTCATTTGATGAGTTAAAACCAGGATTTATTTATAGTTGGTGTACTTATAATGGGAAGTTTTATAAATGATTGCTCAGGTATATCCATTTAAACAACTATACTGATATGCACTTGCTCCTGCCAACATTTGCTATGAATTTTTTTGTGATATGCAATGGTTATTATTCCAGAAAGAAGAGTCATTCCTTTTAGTGGCTCTTCAACAGGACTAACAATCTTTCACACTACATTATACTGCCCAGAGAGATGTCAAAGCAAAAAGCTGAATCTGTGCTATTCAAATGCATCTGAAATTATGTGACTGTGTTCAAATCCTTCTGAAAAAGGATAATAAAATGGTGGTATGTGTTTATGGATCTATATGTTTGGTGCATTTTCAAAACAAAAGGCATATGGTAAGCAAAATTACAGATTTTAAAGAATGTGTCTTGCCTTAACCATTTTCCTAAGACATTGCTTGCTAAAACTGCCTGTTGGGTTTACTCCAAGCAATGAGACAATGCAGCTGCCAATTTTATTGTGGGCAATGGCATCAGTTTCTCAGTTTATGCATTTTATAATGTAGACTGTTCACGTAAATCCATAAGAATGGCCATTCTGATTTTAAGGTTTGAAGGCATATTTTTAGATTTTTAATATTAAATCTTAAATGCTAAAATGTGGCAGGAAATAATTAAATCTCTATTTACCATTTGTTTTACAGGTACTAACTGCTAGATAAAATGTACCTGTTATCAAGAAATTTCTAGATCAAAATTAAGAAAGATTTTGACATTATACTCTTGCCTGACAAAGATGTACTTGCTTTTAGGTTGTTTCAATGAAAGTTTGTTAGGTAATGGAGTGATGGGCTCTTTTACTTACACAGTAAATCTTTCCTGTTTAGGAAATAAATTACCTAGGTATGCTGCACTTTTAAGTTTTAAAAATTGTATCTGGCTTCAGCCTAATCCCTAAGGTGGTGTTTGGGAATGCCTGGATGCAAAAATATAAAAGGGCTGGTTTATGGCTACATGCAGAGAGGCACCCATACAAGTCCTTGTGACAGAGAACTGTTACCCCCAGCAAAAAGTGGGACATGGCGCCCAAGAGAAAGAGCAGACTGAGTCGTATACCTTGCTGCATGAGAGCTCCAACTCCAAACCAGAAACTATTTAGCAAGGTAAAATTGTTTTCCACCACGTCTGAATCAGGGTTGCAAGGATGTGGATTATACCACTCATAGGGACTAAACCTGTGGTAGTTGACAGAAAAAAGAACAGATTTAAAATGAAGCCAGAGGAAAGACAATCCAGAAAATCTGCTGCAAAAGAAAAAGAAAAACAAGAAAGGTTATCAAGAAAATAGTGACTGAATTTTTCTTACAGTATGACTGCATTATACTTAATAGCAATAATGAAAAAAAACCCAATATTGATGATTCATATTCTTAACTATTGCTGATAATAATAATGTCTATAAATTGGCTCTGAAATGTTCCAAGTGCCACCTGTAAACATCAAAGTACTTATTCTTCTGTTAACTTCAATAGAATTATAGGCACTTGGTACCAGTTAGGATCAGGTTCTTATAACTACTATGTCAGTATTTTGTATCTTGAAAGAAAATATAATATGTGTTATATCATACTTAATTAAGTAGGATAAATACATTAAGACAAAAGGTTTTTCTCAGTGAAATTATAAATAATGAATATAACAGAAAATAAATAGTTAGCAGTAAAACTGGTATCATTAATCACCAAACAAGGGGATCAAACTCTATAATTCACATAAAAATGATATTATAACAAATTAAAGAAATTGCATCCTGTCCTGTGAGGTGCACAGTAGCATCCCTGGAAAGGCTTTCCAAAAGAAGCTGGGGACACTCACAAGCACCTTGCAGGGCCAGGCTCTGAGAAAAGAAAAAAAGAAAACAGAAAAAGAAAAAGAAAAAGGAAAAGACAGTGAAATTAATTATCTCCAAAATAGGTAGAACAAAGATAGTAGAAAGATGCTTGAGTCTGACAATAGATTACAAGCAGATTAAAGACAATCAACTTTAATTCATGACTTTGCAATTGCTGTGCATTATGATGGGTTCATATCTAAATGTCATTTTTTCAACTGTAGCTAAAACAAGCAAACATGTCTAGGTAAATTATTCTTTGTTACAATTTCATTCAGAAACAAAGATTTTCAGTTCTCTCTTCCTCATTATCCCATTGTAGAGTTTTCAATTTTATTCCAATGTGCAGGGTTATTCTAATCACTTAAGAGATTTAATCACCATGCCTGGCCTTGGAGACACACTGTTGATAGGGACTTTTATTTTATGCTTAAACCTTGCCTTTAAATCTTTGATAATGAATACAAGTTAATGCATGTGCATAATATATTTGAGCAAAAAAATGAAAATCACTGCAACACAGTAGAATGGAACCAGCACAAGAAACCAGCACAATAATTAATAATGTTACAGAGTTTAATTATTAAATCAATATTAATGTATTTTCATAATTTCTCAAATCATTAAAGCCACTCTGTTAAAACCCTGGGATAGGCAGACTTTACAAAAGAGCTTCTTTTTTAATGTATCTTATAATCAAAGCTATCTGAATAATGCATCTCTCACTTTGAAAAATGCAATTTTCTTCACAATAATATTTCAAACACATTATAATACAGAAAATCAGATGTTTCACTTTTATGCTCTTAATCTGATGTTAAAACACCTCATCTTAAAAGCCTGTGCTTGATAAAGAACTTTCATTTGGCTCTCCAAAGTAATACTGATATGTTGTTCAAAAAAGTTTATTGGGTTCTAATTAAACATTTTGACCTGAATTATTCCATTACTTTGTAATAAAGCTAGATCAGAAGTTTACCATGCCATTAAAAAGCTAAGTATCTTTCATGTCATTTGGTCCTCAAATCCAACAAAACCTGGAAACCAAGCTCTCCATGAAACTGAAGCAGGTTTTTATTCTCTTTTGCTGAGAGATATTTGAGGATTAAATTGGAAAATACCTTTTTCTTGTGAGGCAAAGGTTTGTTAGACAAAGCAAACATATTTTAGAGATGTCAAATAAATATCAATAAGCAAATGTCATTTTTAGTGGTTGCAACATTACTGAACAATCTAAAACATAACTCGATGGTTTCACATTTTTGTTCTGATGTGTTATCTTGCTATATTATCTTGATAATATTATGAAGCATGAAAAATTGTCCATAGCAGCAAAGAAAGGAAGAAATAACCTGACACATGAGATGGCTTTAGGCAAAGAAACACTGCAATCTTATCCTAGACTCATTCTAGGACCAAGTCCTATCCCATAGTTTTAGAATACTCTGGTATTTATTCTTCAGTCCACAACACTGAATATAAAATGTTGGGTTGGTTTTTTTAATGGATACACAGAAGTGTCTCAAAAGGCATTTAAAACAAAGCAAAAGCCAAAACAAGGGGAAAAAAGAGACCAAAAAGAAAGGAAATATGGAAAAATAATACTAGCCTACTATGGATAAATATTCTTCCACCTTATTTTAATGTGTGATATTAGACAGCCTAGTGTAAGAATCTTTTTTGGATGTACTGCATGTTCACAAGTTTGTCTGTTTAACCCATTGCAATAATCATTTGTAAATCAGAGGTACAGAAAAAAAATTCAGGTTCACTCAGCAGGTCATGTAAGCCAGCATCCTGCTCAGGGCAATGCCAACCACTACTTCAGGATAGGATTCTGTCCAGTCAGGTCTCAAAACTGTACAAAGACAAAAAATCCACAACTTCTCTGGGCAACATGTTCCTGTCTTTAGTTATCATAATAAAGATTGGTTTTGTTTTTCTCTTTAGGTTGTGCTGGAATCTTCCTTGTTTCAAACTATACAGAACTATGCAGCTATGGAAGAGCCCTACTCCATCTCTTTTGATCAACTTCTCCTAGTAGAAAGCCCCTAGTAGAAAAACTTCTCCTGCCTGATGCTAGAAAAGCCCAGCTGGCCCAGCCTCCTTACACAAATCCTGTGATCCAGACTCCAAGTAGTAGCTTGGTGACTCTTTCTCAGGCTTTTTCAAGTATTGGGTGCCCCAGAACTGCTCATAGTATTTAAATGTGCTATAATAAATGCCATTATGGGAATAATCACTTTCCTTGATTAACAGACCACACTCCTACTAATTTTAAATGCAGAACACTAGCTCAATCAAGAAGACAAGTGTAAAGCAAAATGAGAACTTCAGTGAACTGATGCAATTTTGAAGACTGATCTCTCTGATAGCTGATAACAGGTACTCTTTCCATTTACTCATTTCTATTAGTGTTTATTCTAACATTTCAGATACAGTCTCTTAATCTCTAACACCTTCAGGTGTTTTAAATACTTGAAACAAACAGACTTTAAATGAGCTTTGCAAAGCCTGAGTTTCAGTTTTCCTCTCTTCTGCTACCCACTGAAAAGTTACAATTACTCTCCCAAATTTATTGACTAATAAAACTTAAGTTTAAAAGTCAGCCATCTTAGCAGTCTACAGGACAGGGAAGATTTGTGTTAAATTTGATTTCACTTTGGGGACATTCCATGGTATTAGAAATCAAAATTAGTATGCCCCATAAGCAGACAGGTCTACTTCAGAATTGCAAATTATTTGAGACAGACTATCATTTATTACACTCTGTATTCCTATAGTGTTTGAAATAATGGTGTAGAAGCCCAGAATATAAGGGAGCTGAAGTGCATGTCTCAAACACTAGTAGCCAGATAGCCATGGAGCCAACCAAGGATTGATGGTAAGAACTTGCTGCAATAAAGAACACTGGCTGGAGAAGGGGACCACATAGAGGTACAGCAGCAATTTTCTGGGACAAATGTCCTTGTTCTGGCTCCTGGAGATAAACACAACACAGTACAGCTAAAGCACAGGAATGAGGTCAAAAAAGAGACATGGATTGTTGACTGAAGGCTGACACAGTAGGGGAGATCAAGACCACCAAAGACCCCTGAGGTCCTCTGAGCCATTTCCAGAAAGGTCTCAAAGAACAAATTGTACAGAACTAATTTGCATAGAAAGTGAGAAACTGCTTCAGGTCAGAGAAAATTATCTATAAAAAGGTACCCTCACAAAGCCCTCGTGGCATGTCCCCGGGACAGTGGACACCCCCACTTGCTGGAGCCAAGACTGGTGATCTATCTTTCTTTCTTCCTTCCTTTCTTTCTTCCTTTCTTTTTTTCATCCTTCCTTTCTTTCTCTGTCTCTTCTGTTATTCCAAACCCACTTCCATGTGTTTACACTAGAAGCTAAGGGATTAATTTATACCCATTTCCATGCCAAATGTGTAATTTACTAATATAAGCTTCAAAGTTTTTGTGGACCCTCTGACTTGTGTTCTTCTTTTTCAATAACAAATATCTGTACATCTGCGTGTTCTCCCTTTTCAATAACAAATATCTGTACATCTGCCTGTTCCCTTCCCTTTCAGGATGGGATGCCACAAATTTGAACCTCAATCTTACAGGCCTGTCAAGTAAAAATATTAGTGAATATTAAGGAAGCAAGAGTTTTCTTTTAAAAAATTCATCTCAGATAATCCTCTAATTAGACACTGGATTTTTCAGTGCAGTCTCTGAGTGCATGGGAAGGATAGAAGCAATCATAACAGTGTTTTATGAGAGAGAATACCATATTAGACATGATATAGCTACAGTTCATGGAACCTCTCAATGCTCTTTGTGTTACAATGCACATAAAAGAGCCTAGCTTTAGCAAACCTGCTTTTCTATATTCTATGAAGATGGTATGTAGGGGCAGAAAGTGTAAAATAGCTACTATTTTGGCCTTTCAGGTTGTTAGACAATTCAGTTCAATACAAAATCCTGCTAGTCCTCTAGGCAAGATCTATATCGACAGCATCAACAAAAAGGTCCTTTCTGAGACATAAACTTTCCACTCAGTAACAGCCTTTTTAGACTCCTTAAGCCTATTTGGCTCAAGAATCTGGTGTAATATCAACTGTACCCTACTGATAACACCTCTGCTTCTCTTTTTATTTAGGAGCTGATTTTTCTGGCACAGGAAGTCTTGTCATGATGGTACAAGATTCTGTTCCATAATTCTTGACCTACAAGCACCCACTCCTCCTTTCCAGGGCCTATAGTTTGAGATAAACTCAGGAAGAGACACATGACTAATTCTGGATAAACCAGAGCAGTTTCTACACTTTTGGTCTGTAAATAAAAATGCAATCTTACA